AGAGCCCTTGGTTCCGATTCCAGCACCCACATGGCAGCTCACAAACTGGCTGTAACTCTAGTTCCTAGGGATCTGGTGCCCCCTTCTGAGCTCCGGAGGGCTCCTGCACGCTCATGGTGCCCATGCGGACAAGTAGGCACACACACATACCCATAAGAAATAAGCTAAATTAATTAATTTATTTATTTATTTATTTATTGGTTTTTCGAGATAAGATTTCTCTGTGACTTTGGAGGCCATCCCTAGAACTAGCTCTTGTAGACCAGGCTAGTGTTGAACTCACAGAGATCCGCCTGCCTCTGCATCCCGGGGGGCTGGGATTAAGGTGTGTGCCACCACCGCCCGGCAAAGTAAATATTTTTAAAACTACCTGGGATCTGCAGTTGGTCGAATCCCCAAACACAGACTCTATAGAGGCAGAGGGCTGTCTGTACTTAATCTTACTCCAAAACCTTCAAATTATCAAGAAATAAAACAGACCTCATGAGAACAACTAGGGATGTGACTAAGTGATAGCCCACGGTTGATAATCTACTTCACCATTGAACCAGTTTGGTAGTTTGCAGTCACCCTCAGGCATGCGTGGTCAACAGTGTTATGCCCTGAAATTACTGCCAAAGGGATGCATGAAAATGATAGGGATTCAAACACATTTTGTTTAATGAAGCTGGCTTAAATTCCCAGAGGAGATCATTTCCTAAGACTGGCTTTTTCTTCTGCTTCAATAAAATTTCCTTTCCATTGTGTGCCAGCACCCAATATGTTACATAGAAGTATTAATCACTCATGTGGAATTTTACATTTTGGTCCATTGAAAATCATGCCTTGGCTGCCAACTGCACTCAAAGGTCAGGGCCCTGGGGAGAAGCAAAAGCCAGTTGGCCATTTTTTTGTCGTTGTTTCTTATAGTTTTACCAGGCCAGTTCCTAAACTGACTCAGTTCATCAGCTAGACGCCTATAGGTTGGAGGAAGACTAACGAATTAATATAAATCAGTCCCACACAGTGTGCCCCCATTTGTTGCTTAGAAATGTGCTGATGTTCCCAGAAGGGATCAAGAGCAGAGGCCAGGTAAGGCCACACAGGGCAGGTATCACACTAGCTGAAAGTCAGCGCCTGCAGTCCTGGTGTTATTGACGGCCTCGGGCCAAATGCTTCATCTGACTCCAGCTTCATCAGCAACGAAAGGAGCCTCGGGAGGTAAAGAACAGGCTTTGAGTGTGAATCAGACTGTGGTCAGACACCAGGAAGCATGGTTTCCATGGTAGGCGAGAGGCATGATAAAACCCTGCTAAGACCTTGCCTGTCGGCGGTCCTTCCCCTCCTCTGTCCTCATTCGCCTCTACCGCCATCAACACGTTTTTTCTTTTTAAATATGGAATAACTTCTTTTTTTAAAGATTTATTATTTATTTATTACGAATACAACATCCTGCCTCCATGTACGTCGACACATCAGAAGAGGGCGCCAGATCTCATTACAGATGCCTGTGAGCCACCGTGTGGATGCTGGGAATTGAACTCAGGACCTCTGGAAGAGCAGTCAGTGCTCTTAACCTCTGAGCCGTCTCTCCAGCCCCCTCCATCAACACGTGTAATACAGCAGCCACTCTTGCTTGTTTCCACTGCACACGGTCTCCATCTTCCAACCTGCCACTTCCCACAGTGTCTCTCAGCTTTCCCGAGTGCTAGGATTGCAAGTGTGAGCCAGGTCTCCAGTAAAACTCCAGGGAGCTCTCGATTATGTTCTAACGGTGATGGGGGAGTCTGGCACCTTGTTTGTGGTAGGACAATTGGCTAATCCCTCTTGGAAGGGCGGATTTTTTTTTTTTACTTAAAAATTCTACACCTAGATGTACAGACATATCTGTGAACGAGCATGGAGACTCGAACATACATTATGTTAACAAAACAAGACCACCACATGGGCAAGAATATTCTGGCATATCCACAGAGTGGGATGCTGTGCTACATTGAAAAGAAAGAAACAAAATTACTCACTACAGCCGGGCTGCTGGTGGCACACGCCTTTAATCCCAGCACTTAGGAGGCAGAGGCAGGCAGATCTCCATGAGTTCAAGGCCAGCCTGGTCTACAGAGTGAGCTCCAGGACAGCTTCCAAAGCAATACAGGGAAACCCTGTCTCGAAAAACCAAGAAAAAAATTTACTTCAGATAAAAGAAAATTCCATAGACATATTATTAAATTATAAAAAGCAGTTTGTGGAGAACATACATAGCATGATATATATGTATGTAATATATGTACATATTTATACCATGTACTCTAGTGCTGGAGATGGAATCAGGGCCCAGTGAATGCTAGGTAAGGGCTCCACCACTGAGCTACATACCAACCCCAGAGAGCACATTCTCCACTAGTTAGCATGGTTTGTTTATTGTGTATCATGATGCATTTGCTCCCTACAAAACAGTACTGATGGACGCTTCTGACAGGGGAAGTCCTTTTGCATACATGATTGTCTATTAGTTGATAAATAAAGCACTGTTGGCCAATAGGGAAGCAAGATAGGTGGGACTAGGAGTCAAGGAGGATTCTGGGAAATGTAGTAAAAGGTCGCCGTGTGATCCCGGGAAGAGAGGACGCATGAGGCTGGCTGGCGTCCTGGGTAAGATAAGTCCTTGTAAAAATAGAAAGATTAGTAGCTATGAGTTAATAATTAAATCAGAGCTAGCCATTAAGAAACCATAGCTAAAGGCCAACAGCCTTATAATTAATGTAGTGTCTCCTGTGTTATTGGGGTGGATGCGGGAAGAGTTATCATAATGTGCTTCATTTCCATTTTAAAACTAACACATAAGCAATCCAACAGTAACTGTAGGAAATAAAAACAGAAGTGCAGTAAATCCTTAGGTACTAGTAACAAAGTCATACTGCTATTTCTGATTTTACCATCAATGATTCACAAAAATTAAAAGTAGTGTTTAAACCATTAGAATAACAGTTGAGAAATAATCACCACTGTGCTACAGACAATGTACACATTATCTTTTGATGTCTATAGTCTTGCTCTCCACAAACTAATAAAGTTACACTTTAACAAAACATTTCACAGCCGGGCGTTGGTGGCGCACGCCTTTAATCCCAGCACTCGGGAGGCAGAGGCAGGTGGATCTCTGTGAGTTCCAAGCCAGCCTGGTCTACAGAGCAAGTACCAGGACAGCCACCAAAACTACACAGAGAAACCCTGTCTCGAAAAACCAAAAAAAAAATTTCCACTGTTGTGGGATAAGCTGTTTTCCTCATGAAGATATACTGAAGTCATTCTTTGGCTACAGTAGCATTATGACCCTTCCTAAATTTATTTTGTGACCACCCCCTATTCTTTAGAATGTGATCTTACTTGAAAATACTATTCTTGGCCGGGCGTTGGTGGCGCACGCCTTTAATCCCAGCACTTGGGAGGCAGAGGCAGGCGGATCTCTGTGAGTTCGAGACCAGCCTGGACTACCAAGGGAGTTCCAGGACAGCCTCCAAAGCCACAGAGAAACCCTGTCTCGAAAGAAAAAAAAAAAAAGAAAATACTATTCTTAGTTAGGTGGTGGTGGTGCATGTCTTTAATCCCAGCACTCGGGAGGCAGAGGAAAACGGATCTCTGAGTTTGAGACCAGCCTGGTCTGCAAGAGCTAGTTCCAGGACAGCCTCCAAAGCTACACAGAAAAACCCTATCTCAAAAACCAACCAACCAAACAAACAAACAAACAAACACAAAGACCCTTTGTAGAGGTGAGGTGATCAAATTACGTGGTCCTAAGAGTGTTTGTATGTGTGTGTGTGGGGGGGGGGTGCATGTACACATGTGATAGACCCAGAAAGGCCATCATGAGGGAGAAGGAGATCTTAAAGGGGGAGATAATAGAATGCAAGAATTAACAAAGCCGAAGGGTTGACTCTCTGGGAGAAGGGATGGAACCAGCCAGAGGCGTTAGGTTTTAAAGAGAGTGCACAGGAGGTTCAAGAGAAAGGCGCCCCTGATGGCTAATCTTGGTCTTCAACTTGGTGTACTTGGGAAGAGGGAGCCCCTCCATGCTGAGGAATTGCCTCCAACAGTTTGGCATTTTCTCAATTACTTATTGACACGGAGGCCCCGCCCACTGTGGGCAGTGCTGTTCCCAGGCAGATAGGCTGTTCCTCTGAATGGGCAGCCGGTGTTCTTAAGCGATCAGCATCTCTCCAGCTGGGGTCTGTGACAGCGTGTTAGTTCCAGGCGAAACAGACTTCCCCTGCCGGAGGGAAGGCAAGCAAGGCAAAGTTATCTGTGACTTCGTAGGCAAGCCGCGTTGGCGAGAAAGTGGGGCAGAGGGCGATGGAAGGCCAGCCGACTCCCCCACGGAAGACTTTGAAATATAAGATGATCACTTCCGCCTTGAGGTCAGAGCGTGACCACAGACCAAGCCCACAACAGCGTTTTAATGAAACCACACAGACCAGCTATCTGGGGTTGCTTTGGCCCAAGTGCTTGCAACAGATAACAGTTTTCCGAGACACAAAATGTGACCAGAACCCTACCCGAGGTGACTGCTCAACTGGTAGACACTTCGAGGATTAATGACAGCCCAAGACCCACTTAGGCTAATAAGTAACAGGCACTGGGGGAAAGATTTGTCCTTCTCCTGGTAGTTTACACGGACTTTCGAGTAGTTCAGATATGTTTCCTTACATATTTTAAGTCTATTTTTTATGTGTTTATTTTAGGAAGAGGGTCTTAACTGTAAGGATTCAGACATTATGATGGCATAGCCCTGTCACCTGGCAGAATGCACTCAGGCAGTATCCTGGTCAGCCCAGGTGCAAAGGACCCCTTTAAAAGACCCCAGCCCACTTAAGCTATCTTTCCCTGATGTTTTCCTGGGGCAGACAGGACTTTTCCTGTCTCCCTCTTCTCTTCTGTCCTCTCTCTCTCTCTCTCTCCCTCTCCCTCCCCCTTCCCCTCTCCGTGTGTGTGTGTGTGTGTGTGTGTGTGTGTGTGTGTGTGTCTGTCATCTGTCTGTCTGTCTGTCTTTACCTCTTTTCTCTTTCCTCCCTTCCCTCCCTTTCTAATGAAACATCTCACTTAAGCTCTGTCTGGCGTGTTTGTCCCTCCTCATCTGTCATGGAATCCAAGGTCTCCCAAGCACATAATCATGTCACTCACTCTGTAGCCCAGGCTAAGTCACCTTGCCATCCTCTTGCCGTAGTTTTCCAAGGGCTGGGACTACCCATGTCACCATGCCTGACTCTCCTGTATTTAAATTATTAAGTGATCCTCTGAGTAGGGTGTGATACACCCTTGAAATTCATTTGCTTTTATTTCCTGTAGGGACTGAAGAGATCACAGCCCCACTGATGTGCCTCTCGGAAGGAAACGGGTGGGTCTCTCCTCATCCACGTAGCCATGAGAGCTGGGAAGATGGCTCAGCGGGGAAGACTCTTGACGCTCTGGAGCGAAGGCTGGATTCCAGGTCTCATGAGCCCAGGTATGTAATGCAGCCCCGGTTATGTGTGCAGAGGCTCACCAGTGACTCTTGAATTTCAAAGGCAGTGACGGGAAAGGGGATCCTTGGGACAAGGTTGGTAGCTAGGCAAGCCTTTGTAGATGGTTGCCCACTCCTCTCGCATGTAATGCTGTACTGCTGAAAACCATGAGTTCTGAACACCTGTGACTGAGCTCCAGACGGCAGCTCGGCGTGGCTTTTATCTGCAGTACCAGGGACTCGGCTGGCACGCAGAAAGTACTTAGTAACTATACCTGGCCGCCTGAAAAGGTGAATGAGCGATGATTGGACGCAGGTCTGTTATCGTGGTACCCGAGGCGTTCTGCCTGTGGTGGGCTCTCTAACGAGGCAGCTCCCTCCCTCCCTCTCTCCCAGTGAGTCTTTGACACTCATGGGCTCCCATCTTTGGCTCCATCCTGCTGACCTCAAGGCACGCCTTTCTTCTGTGTCTGCTCTGGGCTTGCTTCCAGGCTTTTGCACCACGCTCCAGATGGCTTTGTGCCTTCGCTATGGGTCTGGCTCAGGCAGGTTTGCTCACACTGGTGAGCCGTGTGGCAATCTTCAATCATCTCCCTTCCTTCCAAGCTTGGCATTCCTTCCAGGCAGTGTGATGAGCAGCATGGCCAGTTGGGATGGGCTTCCCCAGCCAGCGGCCTCTGTGTTGATTCCTAGACCACTGACGTGTTTCCTTCCTCTGGCCCCCTCCAATAACCTGGTTTCTTCCACAGCTTCTGAAACGTAGCACCATGCCCAGGTCATTTTAATTTGTCCATCTATTTTTTTTCCACTTCAGATAAATTAAGGAACCCAGAAATTGAGGCCTATGTTAGTTTCCGCTCTCCATCCCTCATCCCTTTCCTCCTCCCTCCCTCCCTTCCTGTAGGGAGAGATCTCAGGTATGTGGGCGTGGTCACAGGTATGTGGGGGGAGGCAGAGATAAAGGACAAGGGAGAAGGGGTCACCCTCTCTCTTGGGGTTCCGGGTCGAGGTCGGAGACCAGCAGAGGGCTGACCTCAGTTCTCAGCTTCTCACGTAAGTGGCTTCTCTCTCTAATAAAGTATCATTCGACTTCCCTTCCCTGTATACTTGGTGTGGCTTGATATCACTTGTTACCTTCTTTCTTATTCTTCCTTCTTTTGGTAGGATCTCAAGGAGCCCAGGCTAGCCTTGAACTCACTGTCACAGCTAAAGCTAACCTTGATCTTCTAATCCTCCTGCCTCTACCTGCTAGGATCAGAGGTATTTGTAGCATGCCCAGATTAGCTCATATTGCTATGTAACACATCATCACAAACCAAACCTTGAAGCCGGGCATTGGTGGCGCACGCCTTTAGTCCCAGCACTTGGGAGGCAGAGGCAGGTGGATCTCTGTGAGTTCGAGGCCAGCCTGGTCTACAGAGCTAGTTCCAGGACAGTCTCCAAAACAATACAAAGAAACCCTGTCTCGAAAAACCAAAAAAAAAACAAACCAACAAACCAAACCTTGAAGCCACATAGGTCTATTACGGTACGGCACGGCTTCCGTGGGTCTGAATGTCCGCACATCTTAACTGGCTCTTGCTTACAATCCTACCAGGCTGAAATTGAGATTCTGGCCAGCATAGCAGAGTGAAGATGGAGGTTTCCATTCCCCGCAGTTCCCACCGCCCTTTAGCTCCAAATAAATACACAGAGACATATTAATTATTAAATTGTTGGCCAATATCTAGGGCATCTTATTGACTAACTCCATCTATTTGCAATACAAAGTGAAGATAAGTAGGAGCCATCTCGCTCTGTCTTAATTATTAACCCATTTCCATAAATCTATGTATTTCCACACGGTCTTGGCTTGCCAGAGAATGTCTGGACCTGTTACTCCTTTCACAGCTACATGGCATCTCTTCTGTGGTCTCTCTCTCTCTCTCTCTCTCTCTCTGTCTCTCTCTCTCTTTCTCTCTCTCTCTCTCTCTCTCTCTCTGCCTACATTCCGAAGAATTCTCATCTCTTAGCCCCGCCTCTACTGGCCAAACGTGTTTTATTCACCAACCAATAAGAGAAACATATATACAGAAGGGCATCCCCCATCAGAAGAGCCGCATGAGGCTTGTCAGAGAAAAATCCACTTCCAGGCTTGCATGGGCTGTTACAAACTTCATCTCCGTACACAGACCAAAGGCCCTATCCCTCTTTCCGGCTGTCCTGGTCACCGTTCTACTGTTATGAAGAGACGCCATGACCAAGTAAGAGAAGGCATTGGGGGAGGGGTGCTGCTTATGGTTTCAGAGGGTTAGTCCATGACCTGACCATCGTAGTGGAGAGCAGACAGGCATGGTGCTGAGCTATAGTATCTGAGATCTTTACATCCTGATCCACAGGCAGCAGACAGAGAAAGTGAGGCGTTGGGGCTGGAGTGGGCTTTGGAAACCTCAAAGCCGACTACCAGTAGCACACCTCCTTCAAGCAGGCCACACCTCCCAGTCCTTCCCAGAGAGTTCATCAACTAAAGACTAAGCGTTGCAAATACGTGAGCCTGTAGGTGTCACACTTATTAAAATCGTGATACTGACCGTTGGTCAGGTGTTGCTTTGGGCCCCTTCATACGCCACCAGGAAGGAGATGTCCCAGTCCTTGGAAGGCAAAACAGGGAATCCCTAAAGCAAGCTGGCTAGTTAAAACTAAGCCCACATCTTTGAGCTCTGGATTCAACTGAGAGAGCCTGCCTAGGTGAGTACAACGGAGGGCGATAGACGAAAACTCATCGGTATGGCCGCTCCCTTCTAACCAGCACAGAAAAGACTATTTCGTCAGACTATGCAAGCAAGATGGAATACATTTCGTCAGACTATGCAAGCAAGATAGAATCGTTACTTACTTTAGAGAGATGCATTTGTGTGTCTAAGAAGCACCAGGAGGCCTACCCCATGACTTCTGTCCTATTGTGTCAGATGGCTTCGAAGAGGCACCATGACCAAAGCAACTCTTAGGAAAGAGAGCCTTTAACGAGGGGCTTGCCTACAGCTTCAGAGGAACGCAGACGGCCATGGCGCCGGAGGAGGAGCAGCAGCCGCCGAGAGCTTCACGCTCCTGTTCCTCAGGAAGACACAGGTCCTGTCCATGGGGCGCGGACCACGCAGGACTTAACACAGATGCTGTTTAGGTTGGACCTCTGTCTCGGCCCCACCTCTCTCCCTCTCCAGACCCGGCCTTCAGAAAGCCCAGCAAGTGGAAGCTCCTCCCCCCCTGAGATACTCAAGGATACAGGTTATTTATTTAAGACCTGGCTCCTAGACCTGCCACGCGATTTCTCTCCTGCCTCCCCTGAGAGTCACCGGGGAGTTCCTTTCCTCTGTTTATTAAATAAACCTGGCTTTAATTAATTCTGCTGGATTTGGCTTATTGCATCGGTGGAGAAACCCACAACCGGGATTTTCAGAAATACTTACCAAATGTTACTTGAGGTCACCGAGAGTAAGGTACACCAGAACAAAGACCCCAGGGTTCTTCCTATAATCCCTGAGAGGTTGTATTGAAGACCAGCGCTGGGCTGACCTGATACCAAAGTAGAGGACTTCAATGGAGGAAGGGTGAAAATTAGGAGACAATGGAGGAAGGGTGGGGATTAGGAAGGAGATGAGGAGTGCCTGACTAATGTTGGTGGCTAGGAAGGAGGGCCAGGGAGCCCAGACGAGGTGGACTCACACTCACCACAGACAGAATGATCCGGATTTGAGGACCAGGCAACCGTATGGGAGGGAAGGAAACAAGGGTTTCTCAGAGCTTTGTAGCACCAGGGGCACTACCACCAACAGGGAGCAGGAACACATTCTGGAGAGACGTTCCTGCGCACACGTCGCTCCCAAGTCACCGCAGGAAAAGCCACATGGAGACACCAAATGAGAGCACAGGGAATGTGTATTTGGAGGTAGGGGGTGGACTCAAGGGCAGAGAGGTTGACTTGTAAGACTGGACTTTCACCTGGTTCTGTGGCTCCAAGGACACAGCCAGCGGCCGGGCTATTCCAGGACACAATTCATTTGAACTTCATCTCTGGAGTTAGGACCTGGAAGGGCAACTGTTATGGGATCAGATTAAGTGGGGAGTGGGGGAGGGGGAGGGGAGGGAGAGGAGCAGAGGGGAGGACAGAGAGAGGAAAGAGCAGAAGCAATGACTCCACCTACCCTGGGGAGGACAGAAAGGCAATGAAAGAGAAAAGGGACCCAGGGAAACACGCTTCTGTGCACAGGATGGCAGAACGTTGCTTGGCCAAATCGCCTTTACTACCAGGAAAGTCTGCCACACTAAGCAGCCACAGCCTCCCTGTGTTGTCTGGGAGAGCTGGCTTCCAAACACCCTCTTCACAGCACACGCTCCACGTTATGAAGGATTTATTTGGGGCTGGCTTACAGTTTCGGGGGTCCATTATCATCATGGCGGGAAGCATGGCGGCGTGCAGACAGACACGGTCCTGCAGAGGCGGCTGAGAGTCCTACATCGAGATCGGCGGGCAGCAGAAAGAGAATGCCTCGCTGGGCATGGTCTGAGCACTTGAAACCTCAAAGCCAACCCCCGGTGACACATCTCCCACACCAAGACCACACCTCCTAAAGTGCCACTCCCTGTGAGCCTGTGACGGGTTTCATTCAAACCACCACACCTAGGATTCGTAAGGTACGGTGTTCAACGCCCAGCGCCAGAAAGGAAAAGGGAAAGGAGAAAGGGAAACCGACACCTCCACCCTTAATATCCACAAAGAGCTTACATGGTCTTTGCTGGTTTCAAAGCTACAGCCAAGCCCGCTTTCGACGTAGATTAAAAACCTCTATGCCCAGCAGGGCGTTGGTGGCGCACGCCTTTAATCCCAGCACTCGGGAGGCAGAGGCAGGCGGATCTCTGTGAGTTCGAGACCAGTCTGGACTACCAAGCGAGTTTCAGGACAGCCTCCAAAGCCACAAAGAAACCCTGTCTCGAAAAACACCAAAAAAAAAAAAAAACCTCTATGCCCACAGACGCACATACACTACGCAGGCACAGAGACCGTTTTGCACGTACATTCTCTCTTTCAATACAGCTTCTTGTTTTCCTTGATTTCCCACCAGGGAGCCTGGTGGAGGTGACCTGGAATTACCTTCTCCTCCTGGGCCTGGATGAGTCCTTAGTTGCCACCCTCTCGTCGCCTCAGGACAACTAGCTCATGGCCGCTCTATGCTCAGGAACCTGTGGTGCCCAGCATGTCCCAGCATATGAAAGCTATGCGCTCACCTTGACCCTTGATGAGAATTAGAGCTGACAGATTTCTGGGAAACACACACACACACACACACACACACACACACACTGTTCTCACTAGGCTTTGTATCTTGCTCTCATAGAAACTGATGAATTACAAAGTTCGTGAAAATCTGCTTGACTGAACCCTGAGTTTTTCCCTTCATGTGTATTTCCCCTCCTTCTTTAGCCCAGCGTTCACTCCACTGCCTGGGTTATGAGGTCAGTTGGGAAAGATGCAGGTAGACAATAGAATGGTACCTTTAACAGCTCTCTCTCTCTCTCTCTCTCTCTCTCTCTCTCTCTCTCTCTCCCTCCCTCCCTCCCTCCCTCCCTCCCTCCCTCTCTCTCTCTCTCTCTCTTTCTCATTAAGCAGTGTGGTATACGCCTTTCTGCGGCCACGTTTCTGCCTTGCTGAGAAACACCTCTCTGTGTTTTGGTTGCTAAAGCTTTGACTTCTGGGCTGTTCACTTCATTCTGACCTTCCCGGGGCTGGATCTGCCTTCCAAGCCATTAGGCGAAGTGAGGGAAGGTAGTTTCGGGCTGTCCTCTGCAGTCACCTTGACACATGTCACATGACACATACTCCACTGTGAGCCCTGTGTTCACGCAGGAAACCCTGTCATTTTTTGTTGTTGTTGTTTTTATGAGACAGGGTTTCTCTGTATTGTTTTTGAAGCTGTCGGTCCAGCCTAGCCTTGAATTCATAGAGATCTGCCTGCCTCTGCCTCCCGAGTGCTGGGAGGCGTGCGCCACCAATGCCCAGCAACCCTGTCATTCTTAAACTTCATAGGATCACATTAAATCTCCCCCCCCCCAAGTACATCAGCAATTGCTCATGGAGAGAGGGGGCAGAGAGAGGAAGAGGGAGAGAGGGAGAGGGAGAGGGAGAGGGAGAGGGAGAGGGAGAGAGACAGAGACAGAGACAGAGACAGAGACAGAGACAGAGACAGAGAGAGCAATCAAGCTAAAATTGAACTGGTCTGTGCATCCCACATTCCCCTAAAACTTCACCTCTGTGTCTCCTGTGAAGTGGGAGCCAGCTGGAAAAACCTACCCGTAAAATCGTTGTCCCCTCCTGCCTGCCCCGTCTCTTCTCCCTGCTCTCTGAGACTGCATGCCCCCAGACTGTGTGAGCATGACATCTGCGCCTGCTGAGCAAACCCCTGGCCTCCTCACTCTTCTAGATCCTGCCGTGTGCGCGTCATTGCTTCCGGTTATTGCACCTTCCGTTTGGCTCCCTCGCGGCTTCAATTTCTTTCTATATTTGCTGCGTTCCTTAGGCCAGAATGAAGTCACAGCCCAGAAGTCAGTTAGATCAACAGTGACCCTGAAGACCCAATTGGAAAGAATGGGCATCTTGACACTATTGGGTCTTCCTACCCACGACCGTGGGATACCTCTCCGTGTGTTTGGTTCTTCCTTGATGTCTTTAACCAGTTTGTCTCCCTTGTGCCGATCTTGGGCATGCTTTGTTAAGGCTTATACGTAAGTTTCGTTACATGTTAACGTAAAATGGCATTGCATTTGTTTTTATTTTTTTGTTGTCTTTTTTTTTTTAAGTTTTTTGAGACGGGGTTTCTCTGTGCAGCTTTGGACCCAGTCCTGGAGCTCACTCTTGTAGACCAGGCTGGCCTCGCACTCACAGAGATCCGCCTGCCTCTGCCTCCCGAGTGCTGGGATCAAAGGCGCGCGCCACCACTGTAGCGGCACAAATTACGGTACACGGGACTGGGATGGAGTAAGTTGATTTTATTGAAGAGAAAACCGCTTACATGAGATATCCCAGGGTCAGCGCTCCGAGCGCGGAGTATCAGCCAACCTCTCCCCAG